CCGACCGCCCGTGGGGACGGCCGGCCCCGGCCTTTGAGGCGCGCCCACGCGCGCCACCCATTGGCCACCGCCGCCCCGCGCTCCGCCCTTCCGCGCCGCAGATTGGTCCGCCCCCTTGTCCGTCGCGGCTCTGCTCCCGCCCTGGGGGTTCTTGGGTTGTTGCCGCCGCCCGAGTTGTTTCTGGCTCCCTCGGCTGCCGTCTCCGCCCCCTGAGCGCGGGGCCCGGGCGGGCAGCTCCGGGGTCCCCTGCTCTAGGGGCACTCCCAGGGATCCCCCTACTGTAGGGGAAGCTCTGAGATCTTGCCTGCTATAGGGGAAGCTCTGGGATCCCCCTTCTATAGGAGCACCTCAGGGATCCCACAGCTATAGGGGAGCTCAGAAATCCCCTTGCTACAAGGGCCTCTCAGAAATCCCCCTGCTATAGGGGCATTTCAGGGATTCCCCCTACTATAGGGGAAGCTCAGATATCCTTCCTGCTATAGGAACATCCCACCGCTGTAAGGGAAGCTTAGACATCCCCCTTGCTCTAGGGGCATTTCGGGGATCCCCCAGCTCTAGGGGGCTTGGAGATCCTTGCTGTGGGGGTCGCTCAGAAATCGCTCTTGCTACAGGGGCGATTCCCATGGGCACAGGGAGAAACCCAGGCTGTGGTAGGGGCATCTCGGCCACCCTCACATCTGGCAGGGGTCAGCTTGGCTTGGAGTGCCCGGCGGGGCCCGGTGGCAGTGGCGTCCACTAAAGGCCTGTCCCGTCGTCGCCATCCCTGATGCACGGACCACGAAGGGCTCCTCTGTGCCCACAGATACGAGACCCCCCAGAGGCGGTAAGGTGGGGCTGGAGGAGAGACTTGCCCCGTCATTGCTGACGCTTACTCCTGGTAAGTGAGGCCCTGAGCCCTCCCGTGGTTCGTTATTTAGTGCTTCTTTCCATTTCCACCCGCAGCGGCCTAGGTGCTTTCCAGGACCGGCTCAGCAGGGAGGAGACAGCTCGGCAAAGGCTGGGAACAGCAGTAGGCAATTTGTATCCGAGTCAGCTTGATTCCCCGACTGCAAACCCAAATTTTCCCGTTCAGCAAACTGGGTCGGAAAGGGGCGCCTGTGGGCTCGAATGCACCCCTCCCTCCCTCCCGGTGCCCGCTTCACACCTGCTGTCACCCAGCCCCTGCTGCAGGGCAGGAAAGGGCATGAGGACCTGAAAGTGAAAGTGAAACCCAAGTGGACCTGTGCTGAGGGCAGCTCTTCTTGCGTATAGGCAGACAAGGTTCTTTGGGTGAATCTGGTATCTTTTATTAGACCAACTTAAAATAGTTGCAAAACAATTTTTAAGCAAGCTTTCAGGTTCAAAAACCCTTCGTCAGGCTAAGGAAGTTTCAGCAGTTGGTGTGTGCTCTCGTGCATTGCATTTGTTTCATTGTTTGTAGTATCCTTTTGGGCATGATGTGTGTGTGCGTGAGGTTGCTTCTTATAGGGGTCGAGTGCTGTTAAAAATTCTCCAGCAGGGGGTCAAATCTGGGGTCTTGCTGGGCAGTCCTGGAAGCCCCAAATGTAGTAGAAATGCCACCGAGGTTGTTCAGGAAGCTGCAAAAATCAGAATTTGGTCCCGAGCAAAGTAAGAGGGATTCTGTCCCAAGACCCATGAAGGTGGTACTGTTAAAATCTGTGTTAATCTTTTTAACAATTTTTTTTTTTTTTTTTTTTTTTAAATTTTAACTACGATCAAATCTGTGTTTCCAGTGATCTGGTCTGCACTCTGGCTTCTAACAGCATTTCCCAATAAACGTGGCTATACGAGGCATGGCATCGTCCTTGCAAACTGCTGTTTGGACCTGGTCTTACGGAGTCAGGGCTTGGCTGAGGTGGTTGCTTGTCTCACAGCTCTCTCTGCCATACTGTGCCAGCCACCATGCTGAAAAGCATTGTGAAATAAGTGGTTTCATGCAAGCAGAGACCTCAGGCTAGCTAGCCATTCAGTGTGAGCGGGTACTGTTGACCTCAGTGGGGCCTCTACGTAGGTAGAGGTGGCTTGTAGGATGAAGGTCATGGCTGCACAAAGTGTGTGGCTGTTTGCGGTTTATAGGACTACCTTAGCTTGCATCACTTGTATCTACTCTAGCATAGTTTGATGGGGAAGGAGAGTGGAGTATTCAATACATATTTCTGGTTTGTGTTTAGGAAAAAGCCAGAGGATGTAGCTATGTTACAGGATGATGATGACAGGCAGAAGAAAGGGCAGGGTGGCACCTTAGAGACCACCTAATTCAGAGAGGCATGAACTTTTGTAGGCAACAACCTACTTCATCAGATGTTATGAGAATGATGCTAAAATACCATTTCAGTAATAATCTTTGAAAATGTAAAACAGCAGCTACAGAAAGTTAGACATGTAAAAATAAATAGCAGGTCCAAATAACTTGCAGCCAAGAGTTCTAAAAGAGCTGCCCGAGGAGCTCTCTGACCTATTACTGTGGATTCTCCCCTAATTCTTGGGATACTGGGGAAGTTTCAGAAGATTAGGAGAGATTCTTATGCTTTCCCAGGATCAAAGAAAAGTAAATAGTGATCCAAAAATGTACAGTATTGTCAGCCTGATGTTGAGTGTGAGCAAGATTATGGAAGAGATGATAGCACTCTCAATAAAGAATTAAAGGAGGGTAATAGGATTGATGCCAGTCAGTACAGGTTTATGGAAAACACATTCTGTTAACCTAGCTTGATATCTGTTCTGGATGTGATGACGAACTTGTTTAAAAACGATAGTAGTGCTGATTATAGTTAGACTTTCTGTAAGGCACTTGACTTGGTACTGTAGGACAGTGTGCTGATGAAGGCACCTGAATGGTACAACACTAGTGTGGCACACATTACATGGATTAAAGTCTGGCTAATGATGGGTTTCAGGTCATGGAGAGCCATTGTCTATAGACTGTGTTTTTAGCGTGGCAGGGTGTTGCCAAGGTGAATTTAAGTCGACTTTATGGCTATTGCATTTAAGCATGGTCCTACCCTGCTCCAGACCCTATGGCTTGGACCAGCCTGGAATCTGCTGTAATTTGTGCCGGTTGTCCCTGGCTCCCAAGGGACTTCCAGCTGCTAGGCTCTGGGTGGACGGAAGTTTTGGCAGCATCTCTGTTCCCAGGTATGCTCTCATGTGTGAGGCGAAGTGTGGCTGTTCTCTGGGAGTTCTTTGTTCCTGGGAGGTTTCACCGTCCACAGGGGCAAGCAAAACTGGTTTAGGGATGATATGCACCCTCAGTAATTGTTCAAGCTGCTGGGTCAGGTTCCTCATAATGCTTATCCCCTATTCATATATTATTAATTTCCCATTGCTTTAAGATCAGTAATGCCTCACTCACTAAAAGGTTAAAAATGGTGAAAGTTGAAAGCCAAAGATTCCTGGAAAGGTTCAGTTTAGAACCTCGACATCAGTGTATTAAAATAACAGTAACAATAATAATAATGAATAAATGTAGGCAGGTGCAGTCATGTATATCTGTGCACTATGTTGCCCTTCTGGATGGGTAAGTATTTCATAGCCACTTAGGACGCAGTCTGGTCCTCAGGAGCTGCTTGCTGTAAAGATTGCTCTTCCTAATGGCCCAGTGAAGGTGACACAGTAGTAGTAGCCTCTTCTTGCTGTGGGGAGGAGGGGTTGGGGTGTATCTACAGTGCATGTGCTAAATTGGCCCACGCTGATTACAGGGATGGGATGAGAAAAGCCAGAGAGGACCCTTCTGTTTCATGCAGTACAACAACTTCTGCACAGCCTTGCTGTGTAAATGCAGCATCTCATAAAGATCCCCCATGCTGTTCCCCTGTGCAAGTCTGTCTGGGCTCATGCCCAAAATGAGGTGGTAAAACCTGCAGAGTGGGGACTGTATCTTTCCTACCTGGCAGGTGTAAGGCACAGGGCTGGATGCCCAGCTGGAGCGAGCACTGATGGTAAATTATCTACAGCTCCCTCCCACCGTCTCAGTGGGAGCCTGCTGGTTCATTTGCTGGCCAGAGCATAAGTAATGTATTCCTTCAGCTGTCGTGTAGATAAGACAGCCTTCCCTTCAGCCCAGCTTGAGCGCTGGTGATAGTGGGACTGTGTGCCTGTGTCGGAGGAGCCAGCCCAGGGTCTAGCACTTCTGCGAAGGGAATGGCATGATGAGAGACACCGCCGCGAAGCTGTGGAGCCAGCGCATTTATCACTGTCCTTGCATTCTCTGTCCCATGGCAGACAAAACAGTAGTGAACAACAAGCGCAGAGAGTCGTCATTAGTCAGAGTATTGTAATAAGTGGAGAGCCAAAAGTCAGCGGGTGCAGGAGCGGGTGCTGGTTAATGAGTCTGGAGACACAGGTTGCGATCTCAGCTCTCCCCTGAGCTGGGCGCGCCATTTCACTGGTGTTGCACTCTCTGCTTTGCAAATTCATTGAGGCAAGGGCTGTGCTATACAATACAGGTCCGATGCCCATCCTAACAGGGCCCTGATCCCTACCAGGTCAGACGAGCACTACCTGCAGTGCAGATATTGCAATCGCAGCAGCAGCCTACAGACAACATGTGAGCCAGGGTTTTTCAAGCATCACCAGTGGTGCTGGTTTTTTTGAAGTGTCCAACTTGACACCCAATAAATGGGCCTGGTTTGCAGGCGCAGGGAGGAGTTGGGGGCCCAAATAAATCAGTTACACCCCCCAGAACTGGGGCTTATGTCCCTGAGCCTCGTAAATGCAGGCCTGAGGAAGGGGATGTGGTTTTAGAGATGGGGGGGGGGGGGGGGGGGGGGGGG